GCACATATTTCTCTTGGGTATATGTTTAGGATAATAGGGTATGTGTATCTTCAACTTACTAGATAAAGTCCAACTGTTTTCTAAAGTAGTTGTATCAGTTTAGACAATAGTGGTGATAAAAGTTCTTATTGTCACATCTTTGCCAAATAGTACTTCTTGTCATATTAATTTTAGTAATTCTGGTGGAAGATCAGTAGTATTTAATTATAGGATAACTTGCATTTTCCTAATTTCTAATAAAGTTGGTTGCTGTGGTTTTAAAATATATATATTTCCACAAATTCTTTGGCACTCCTCTTATCAATAGGTGGAGTCTGATTGCCTTCTCCTTGACTATGGGCTGGGCTTAGTGACTCCCTTCTAAGAAACAGAATGAAGCCTAAGTGATGCTGTGTTTGACATCTCAAGCTAAATAAAAGACAAACATCTTCTGCCTGTCTCACTCTCTCAAGAAGTCATAGACTTCATAGAGTCATGGACTCATAAAAGTTCTTTATACCATATTTTCATGCTACTCCTGTTTGTAATTTATATTGGAAATATCTTCTCCCATTCTGTGTTTCATTATTTTATAGTTTTTCTTGGATTAACAGAGTTCTTCATTTCACTTAAATTAATCAAATTTTCCCTTATGTTTAGTGCTGTTGTGTCTTATTCCTTTAGAAACCCTCTCTTATCCCAATGTCCTCCAGGATTTTGAAATATTCTCTTCTAAATGCTTTATACTTTTTCCTTTTACATTTCAACAAATTAATTAATGCAGCTGAATTAATTTTTATGTATGGTGTATATTTTCCATATAGAGATCTAATTATGCCAGCACAATTTATTGAAAAGTCCTTCCTTTCCTTACTCTTCTATAGGGTCCTATTTATTACATACAAGATGTGCTCTTTTTTTTTTTTTCTGTTCTATTTGTCCATTTGTCTATCCTTCTACCAATACCACTCTGTCTGAGTTGATAAGGCTTTAAAGGAAGTTTTCGGGTATGGTTGAGAAAGTGTCCCCTTCCTCCTCTTTCTCTTCTTCTTCCTTTTTCTTGACTTTTTTAGCTGTTCTTGGCTCTTTGCATTCCCAAATATTTAGAAAGATATTATTAAATTCAACAAAATGTTGAGATTTTAACTGGAATTACATTAATCTATTAATCAATTTTAGAAGAGTAAATATTTTTACAATATTGTATTATTTTACAATCCATAAAGATAATATGTAACTTCAGTTATCTAGGTCTTATTTAATGCCACTCAATAGAGTTTTATTTTTCCTATGAAGAATTTTACATTGTTTCTTAAATTTATTCCTGAGTATTTGATATTAATGCCATTTTAAGTTTAATGTTAGAATTCATAGAAAAACAATTTATTTTGTATCCAGCAATCTTGCTAAATCTCTTACTGATTTTAATTATTTATGTGGATTTAAAATTTTCTGCATACTGAAGAAATAACTCTAAATAATAAGAATTTTATCTCTTCATTACAATTCTCTCTTTTGTTTGTCTTGCTTTGCAGCACTGGCTAGGACCTACAGTACAGCATTGAATGGTAGTGGCCTTACTACTCTGAGATAGCTGCGATAGCTTTCACAATTTTACCATAAATGTGATGCTGCCCTTAGCTTTTTATACATGTTCTTTTTCAAACAAAAGAAGTTCTTTTCTATTTTTAGTTTGCTTAGAAGTATTATTATTACTGGTGAATGTATGTTGAATTTTATCAAAACCTTTTCTGCATCCATTGAGATGATCATATGTGTTTCTCCTTTGATTTTTTAAAATAATGTTAATATTCCTTTTTAAAAAAAATTCTTTTATAGCTGTGCAGCCTGTGGGATCCTAGTTCCCCTACTAGGGATCGAACCTGAGACTCCTGGAATGGAAGTGTGGAGTCCTAACCACTGGACCGCCAGGGAATTCCCTTCTTTGATCTTTCAGTGGGATGAATTAATGTGGATTGGTTCTATAATCTTCAGCCAACTTTCATTCTTTGGATAAATCCAACTTGGTAGTGCTGTATTATCTTTCACACTTATGTGGATGGACAGTGGGTCAATAGTTTGTTCAAGAGTTTTGCATCTATGATCATGAATGAGACTGACTTGGAATTTTCCTTTCTAAATATTGTCCTTTTCAGACTTTCGTATGAAGGCTATGCTAGACACAGAATGAGTTGGGAAGAGCAGACTCTCTTACTCTCTGGAAGCATGGAACAGTTCTTTCTTTACTGTTTGACAGAATCCACTGGTAAATCTATCAGTGTCTAGAGCCTTTTTTGTGGGAAGATTTTAAATTATTGGTTCAAGTATACCCCCAATAAACCTGACTTTAAAAAATGTCCTTTGGCAAGTTACATTTCCAGTCAATTTTGGTTTCAGGGCCATTAGGTACTATTATTATTGTTCAATAGAAAGGATATCTCCTACTCCTTCTGAGCCTACCATTTTTTGACTGACTAATTTATAATTTATGCCATCATTGAGGTCACAACATAATAAAATAGTTCACATAAGTTATTATATAATATGTACAGTATACTATAATAGCTTACTGTAATAACTTATGGTACATTGTAGTATATTATATACTATATATTACAGTATGTTATATTATATAACTAATTACATATAATATTATATATGTTATATAATTACAATAGTAAACTTCCCACAAAGTGTCTGGTACATTTATATATCATCTCATTTAATCCCTAAGGTAACTGTTGACAGGTAACCTTGTCATTATTTTACAGATAAAGGAACTAACTCTGAGAGGTTATATTCTCTGACCAAAAGTTACACAACTGATAGGTTACACAACTGATAGGTTGAGAAATTGGTGCCCTTAACCATTTTCCATACCAATTCCCTCAAATGAGCTATTCCTCAAGAGAATGTGCAGACTGCTCAAATTTTTTTGGTTTTGCCTATTTCTTACTAAATTCATTCCTAAATATTTTTTGTTTCTATAGTTATTGTGAATAAAATCTCTTTTCCATTACATTTTCAAATTATTGTTAGTATAGTGTATACGTATTTGTAGTACTATTAACTTTATTTTGTAACTGCTTACAAAATTGTGTGAACGTGTCGCATTTTTCTGGTGAGAAAGTCTGCGACTTTCATAGGTTCTTAAAAGGATACATAAATTCAGAAAAGCTTAAACACTGCCGCCTTAAGTCCAGGTTTTCCCAAAACTTTTGTAGCAAGTCCATTACAGTTTATGCTTTGTGTGAACAGTCTTCTTGGACACCAAAACAAACACCAAACTTTGAAAGTCTGGACTACTCTCCAAAACCATGTACTGGATAAGTTCCATAAGTGGATTTTTTTTCTGTCCCTAAGTAGTGAATTTAAAATCACAGGATTCTGAGGTAAATCTTCATATTTTCAGGCCATTGTCTCTATAACCACAGGAAGAAGTCAGACAACAGACCAACGGACTTTTCTAGATGTTCTGAAACTCAAAATTTATTCTCATTCTGATGACCCTTACATATTTAGGTGTGTAAATAACAAATGAACTTCCCAATTTCATCTTTTCTTGGTAATCTGCCCAAGACATATTTCTAGTTCCTTTTCATCTGGGAGATGATGGCAACACTACTCAATTTAGTAGAGAAAGTTGAGAAAGTTACATTGCAAGATTAAGTTTGAATAAATTCTAGGAAAGCTAGCTTTATTTTATTATTTTTTAAATAAATGTATTTAGTTATTTTTGGCTGTGTTGGGTCTTTGTTGCTGCGCGTGGGCTTTCTCTAGTTGTGGCGAGTGGGGGCTACTCTTTATTGCGGTGCGTGGGCTTCTCTTTGCGGTGGCTTCTCTTGTCTCAGAGCACGGGCTCTAGGCACACGGGCTTCAGTAGTCGTGGCTCTCAGGGTCTAGAGCACAGGCTCAGTAGTTGTGGCACACGGACTTAGTTGCTCTGCAGCATGTGGGAACTTCCAAGACCAGGGATGGAACCTGTGTCCCCTGCATTGGCAGGCATATTCTTAACCACTGCACCACCAGGAAAGTCCCGAAAGCTAGATTTATATACCAACAGTTCGATTCATTCTTTGCTGGGGTTTTATCCAACATCATATCCTTAAGAAAAGATCTCAATGTTCCTACTGAAATAAATCAAGGAATTTATACTATTTTATCTCAATATTCTTCAATATTCATAATATGTTGCATTTTGGAGAAAAAGTAGAAGGGTAATATATAGCATATATGGCATAGGGTCTGTATCTTCACTGAATCACACTTGATGTAGAGTAAATAAGTCACAATTTAAGAACCACATCTACAGAAGCCTGCATTAGTAATAAAAACAATAAATATGGAACTTAAATATAAATTAATCAGGCCTTCCAAATTTTCAGGTGAGTAAATCAAAGTTTAAAGAGGTAAAGCAACTTACCTCAAAATAACGAATAGACCTAGTTAGTAATAGAGCTGAGATTAGAATCCAGGACTTCCAAAACCCAGACATGTGCTCTTTCCACTGAACTATGTGGTCACTCTAGGAAGTTGACAGTTTTTTGTTTGTTTGTTTGTTTTGTTTTTGGTTGCATTGTTTTTGGTCTTTGTTGCTGTGCTTGGGCTTTCTCTAGTTGCGGCGAGTGGGGGCTACTATTTGTTGTGGTGCATGGGCTTCTCATTGCAGTGGCTTCTCTTGCTGCAGAGCACAGGCTCTAGGTGTGAGGTTTTCAGTAGTTGTGGCACATGGGCTCAGTAGTTGTGGCTCACAGGCTCTAGAGCACAGGCTCAGTAGTTGTGGCACACAGGTTTAGCTGCTCTGTGGCATATGGAATCTTCCTGGACCAGGGATTGAAACTGTGTCCCCTGCATTGGCGGGTGGATTCTTAACCACTGCACCACCAGGGAAGTCCTGAAGTTGACAGTTTTCAGGATCTTTCTGTTTCCCTGGGGAAGGTCTCCATACTAGCCAAGTTCCCAAGGCATTCAGAGGATTTCTCTCCAGTGTGAAGTTTTTCATGTTGAACAAAAGAAGAGTTTTGTCTAAAGGTTTTCCTACACTCAGTATGTATATTTGCCTTCTCTCCACTATGAATTTTCTGGTGTTTTGTAAGATATGTGTTCTGACTAAAGGCTTTCCCACATTCATTACATTTGTAGAGTTTTTCTTTAGTATGAGTTTTCTGATGTTTTTTAAGGTCTGTTTTCTGGCTGAAGGCTTTGCCACATTTATTGCATTCATAAGGTTTCACTTCAGTATGAATGATCTGATGTTGAATAAGGCCTGAACAGTAACTAACAGGTTTTCCACATTCATTGCATTTATAAGATTTTTCAATGGTATGAGTTTTCTGGTGATTTGTGAGGTTTGTACTCTGACTGAAGTCTTTTCCACATACATTACATTTATAAGGTTTCTCTCCAGTGTGAGTTCTCTGATATTGAATAAGTGCTGACCAATCACTGAAGGCTTTTCCACAGTCATTGCATTTAAAGGGCTTCTCTCCAGTATGAATTCTCTTGTGCTGAATAAGGGCTGAACAGAAACTGAAACCTTTCCCACAATTGTTACACTTATAGCACTTCTCTCCAGTGTGGGTTCTCTGATGTTGAATATGCCCTGGGTGGTCACTAAAAGCTTTCCCACATTCATTACATTTGTAAGGTTTTTCTCCAGTATGAACCCTCAGTGTTGTGTAAGGAATGAACTCTGGATAAAAGTTTTCCCACATTCATTACATTTATATGGTTTCTCTCCTCTATGACTTCTCTGATGTTGAGTAAGGTACATACTTCTGCTGAAGGCTTTCCCACGTTCCTTACATTCATATGGCTTCTCTCCAGTATGAGTTCTTTGATGTCAAATAAGAGCTGAGTAGTTACCAAGGGTTTTCCCACATTCATTGCACTCATAAGACTTCTCTCCAAAGTCTTCTCTCCAAAGACTTCTCTCATCAAAGTGAGTCCTTTGATGCTGAATAAGGGCTGAACAATCATTAAAGGCATTCCCACATTCATTGCATTTGTATGGTTTCTCTCCAGTGTGCATTCTCTGATGTTGAATGAGGTCTGAACAGTAACTGAAAGTTTTCCCACAGTCATTACATGCAAAAAGTTTCTCTCCAGTATGGACAATATGATGTAGGGTAAGAGCTGAGTGATCACTGAAGGCTTTCCCACATTCGTTACATTCATAGGGCATTTCTCCTATATGAATTCTTTGATGTTGAGTAAGATGTGCACTCTGACTAAAGGTTTTACCACATTCGTTGCATTCATAAGGTTTCTCTCCAGTATGAATTCTTTGTTGTAGAGTAAGATGTGTGCTCTGGCTAAAAGCCTTTCCACATTCAAAACATTTATATGGTTTATCACTAGTATGAATTCTTTGATGCTGAGTAAGTTATGTACTACGACTGAATGTCTTGCCACATTCAGTACACTTGTAAGGTCTTTCCCCACTATGAATTCTCTGATGTTGAATAAGGACTGAGCAATAACTGAAGCCCTTCCTACATTCATTGCATTTGTAGGGCTTTTCTCCAGTATGAGTTTTCTCATGGTTTGTTAAATGGGAACTCTGGTTAAATTTCTTTACACATTCATTACATTTAAAGGGTCATTCTCCAGTATGACTTGTTTGATGTTGAGTGAGAGTAGTGTAGTCTCTGAAGGTTTTCCCACATTCACTATATTTATAAGGTTTCTTTACATCACATTTACTTTGTATAATTAAATCTGCGTTTTGTTTGAACATTTTTCCATGTGTACCACATTCATGGCAATGCTCTTCTATAGTAGGACTTCACTGGTTGTCCAGTGGTTAAGACTCTGTGCTTCCAATGCAGGGGGTGCAGGCTCAATCCCTGGTCAGAAAACTAAGGTCTCACATGCAGTGCGGTGCATCAAAAACAAAAACAAAACCAAAAAACCTACTAGAAAATTTTAAATTATATATGTGGCTTGTATTATATTTCTATTGATCAGTGCTGGTTTAGAGAGATTAGACATTTACTCAAGGCTACAGAGCTAGTTAGTGGCAGAGCCAGGACCCAACCCAGTCAGCTGGGTGAGAGAGTCCACCTTCTTCACGACTGGTCCCCATGTTGTGTCAGCATATTCTCCATCAGAGAACTCATCAGTCTTTTTTACTAGACTTTGAGCTTCTGGAGATCATAAACTAAAGTCTTTAACCTTTGAATTGTCAATTCCTAACACAGTATCTGACATATAGAATATGCAAGAGGAACGTTTGGTGGTTTTTTTTTATGAGAATGCCACAATGATAGCAGTTTTTAAAAATTAGTCTGTCCACTTTTTTTTAAAAACTAAGCCCTAGAAATTACTTAAAGCAAAAGTTGAGATAAAGCCACTATCCTAATACTTGGAAGAATAATGTTTGATAGTGAGCATCTCCTTTTAAAATAATTACAGGCATAAATGCTAAGAGGGATATTCAACCTGTAAACTGAAACAAATTTCAGTTTACAGTTCAGTTCCTTCAGTTTCCTTCAGAAACCATGAAGGAACCCATGGAGTAGCTGGAAATTTAGGTGCGTCAGAGCTTTACACTGTCATGCACAGCATGAAAAGATGGTTTCATAAAGGACAGTGAACTCAATCAATTTTATCGGAGAAAATAAAAGAGGGCTAGGAAAAGATAATCAGATTCTTTCTGAAAGAAAAGGAGAAATGCCCTTCATAAGCATATTTGCAACACAGTGGTGAAAGATAAACAGAAATTATAGTCAAGAAGTGATTGTGTGATCATTAAAAGAGCAACATTAACAACCACTGTTAATATTATTTGACTTGCTTCAAAAATTACTTGCATTTTAAAGGAAATTTTACATCAAGATCATGAATATTACAAATAATTCAACTAAATATATAACTATTAGCATAAACAATGTTTTTTTGTGTATTATCCTGTGGAACTGTGTAAATACCTGCCATGAGGATTGGTGTAAAAGAAAGGATGCACAGAAGATGGAAGTATATAAATAAAGAGGCTAAGACTAAAATGAGGATGAGATTCAGATAACTGAACTTGAAAATCTGCAACTTTATTAGGGTTTTCTTGGTTGCCTAATATACATGATTAACTTCATAATTCTTACTGGACTTTATAGTAGAAAATGTATTTTCCATTTGTAGAGGTACAAAATCAACTTTAATGAATTATCCAGACATTCCTCATCTTTATTTTTTGCTTGTTTGATTTTGTCCAGTAGTATGAAAGGCATATGATCATTCCATGCTTGTCAATATATCTTACATTTTTAATAATTTTATGTTACAGATATATAATTTTTTTCCCCTGCACTGGGCAGCTTGCGGGATCTCAGTTCCCTGACCAGGGATTGAACTTGGGGAATGGCAATGAAAGCCCAGAATCCTAACCACTAGGCAACCAGGGAACCCACCCTCCCCCCACCTGAAGTCTATTTTGAAATTAACTTGCAGCTTAACTTCCTTTTTATTTATATCTGTCCAATCTTTTATTTGAAACTTCTTTATTACTTTCATCCAAAAATCAAAACACAACTAAATAAGAAGCCCATATTTTAGGGACAATAACAAGTCCTACAACTCAGGCTTATCACAAGGATTAGATAAATTAATATGTAACAAATAAGCAAATACGTTAATATGTAAAGCACTTAGAACACTTAGAAAGTAGCTGTGTGAGGCTAGTTTCAATTAATGTCATCCATTACATCAACAGACTAAAAAAGATAAATTATATGATCACATCAATAGATGCAGAAAAAGCACTTGAAAAAAATCCAACAACATTCATGATAAAAACTCTCAGTAAACTAGGAATGGAGGGGAACCTTCTCAACTTGCTAAGACTATTTTTAAAAAATCTTCAGCTAACATCATACTTAATAGTGAGAGCCTTGAAGCTTTTCCACTATGATGAGTTACAAGGACAGGATGTCCACTCTCACCTCTCTTTTTGAAAAATGTACTAGAAGTCTTTGGTAATGCAATAAGACAAGAAAAGGAAATAATGGTATACAGACTGGAAAAGAAGAAATAAAACTGTCTTCATTCACAGATAACATGATCATCTTTGTAAAAAATCCAAAAGAATCAACAAAAACTCTTAGAACTCATAAGAGATTATAGCAGGATTGCAAGATACAAAGTTCATACACAAAAGCCAATTGCTTTCCTATATACAAACAATGAGCAAGTGGAGTTTGAAATTAAAAACACAATACCATTTATATTAACACTGAAAAGAATAAAATACTTTGGTATAAATCTAACAGAAAATATATAAGACCTATATGAGTAAAACTACAAAATTTTGGTGAATGAAATCAAAGAAATAAATAAATGGAGAGATATACCATACTCATGGATAAGAAGACTCAGTATTGTCAAGATGTCAGTTCTTTTCAACTTGATTTATAGATTCAGTGCAATTCTAATCAAAATCCCAACTTATATTATGAATATAAACAAACTGATTCTAAAGCTTATATGGAAAGGGACAAGACCCAGAATAGCCAACATAATATTGAAAGTGAAGAACTAAGTTGGAGGATTGACAATACCCAACTTCAAGACTTACTATAGAACTACAGTAATCAAGACAGCATGGTAAAATAATTGGTAAAAGAATAGACAAATAGATCGATGGAACAGAATAAAGAGCCCAGAAATAGACCCACATAAATATAGTCAACTGATCTTTGACAAAGGAGCAAATGCAACACAATGGAGCAGAGATGAATTCTCAACAAATAGCACTGGAACAACTGGATAGTCACATGAAAAAAAAAATTAACCTAGACACAGACTTTACATCCTTCACAAAAACTCAGAATGGATCATAGACACAAATGTAAAATACAAAACTATAAAACTCCTATGAGGTAACATCGGAGAAAACCTAGATGATATTGGGTATAATGATGCCTTTTTAGATACAAAATGATCCATGAAAGAAATAATTATTAAGCTGGACTTCATTAAAATTAAAAACATCTGCTCTGCAAAAGACAATATCAAGAGAATTAGAAGACAAGCCACAGACTAGAAGAAAATATTTGCAAAAGACACATCTAATAAAAGACTGTTATCCAAAATACACAAAGAACTCAGAACTCAGCAATAAGAAAACAACTCTGTTTAAAAAATGGACCCAAGATTTTAACAGACACCTCCCCAAAGATACACAAATGGCAAATAAGCATATGAAAAATGTTCCACCATGATATGTCATCAGGGAAATGCAAATTAAAACAAATAGATAACACTACACATCTACAAGAATGGCCAAAATCTGGAACACTTACAAAAACAAATTCTGGGGAAGATGTGGAGTAATAGAAACTCCATTCACTGCTGGTGGGAATGCAAAACGTACAGCCACTTACAGCCACTTTGGAAGACAGTTTGACAGTTTCTTACAAAACTAAACATACTCTTACCGTATGATCCAGCAATTGTGCTCCTTGATATTTACTCAAATGAATTGAAAACTTATGTTCATACACGAAGAAAGGGGCAGCATAAATAGACAGACAGATAGATAGATAGATAGACAGATAAAGATACATATACAAGCTCAGGTAGTGAAAAATGCTATCAAGAGTAAGGTAAGGGGATAAGGAATAAAGAGGATCTTTATTGTAGATAGGATGGCCAAGGAAAATTTTTATGGGAGGAAACATTTGATCATACCTGACTAAAAAGGGAGTGAGCCATGAATATATCTGAGGACAGACCCAGAGAACAGCAAGTACAAGATCTCTACATCAGAATCCTGAGGTGGGAATAACTTCAGGATGCTATGGGAAGAATGGGAGGCCAGTGTACCTGGAGAGAGTAGTAAGCTAGGAGAGTGTAAGAAATGAGGAATGGATCATTATGTGGTGTAAAATACAGCCAGCCCCCGGGATCTGAGGTTGGTTTAATCCATGCGTGCAGAACCCACGGTTACTGAGGGCCAACTGTACTGAACAATTTTACAGAAGAGACTTGAGCATACCAAGATTTTGGTATACATGGGGGTCCTGAAACCAATCCCTTGTGGATACCGAGGGACAACTGGAATGCCATCTCCCTTATTCTTCAAGGATATGGGAGAACTTGCTTGTTAAATTCTTACAGTATAGGACATACTGGCTTTATTATCATAGGCAGTGTTATTTAATGGAAAAAAAAAAAACTCAGCTGGGGATAAAGGACCCTGGATTCTAATATCTGAGTAAAATGCTGTAAAAGTATTAAGCAAGTCAATTTGAGTCTTGGTTTCTTTAGTAACAAAATAATAGGCTTAACAGTATCTGTTCCCCTTGTTTTACAGAATTTTGTAGGGATTAAGCAAGATTTAAAACTTTTAAAGGCCCACTAAATTTGAAGGGAGAGGTTTGGAACACTGCTTCTCAAAATGTGGTCCCTAGATCAGCAGTCTGAAAATCACTTTGGAACTTGCCAGAAATGCAAATTGGTTTTTTTTGTTTTGTTTTTTTTGTTCGGTATGCGGGCCTCTCACTGTTGTGGCCTCTCCCATTGCAGAGCACAGGCTCTGGACGCGGAGGCTCAGCGGCCATGGCTCACGGGCCCAGCCGCTCCGCGGCATGTGGG